TAGAAAACAGAAGAGAACTCGGAGAAAAAGCACAGAGATGGAGGGACCAATTAGGGTCGTACGGCTTGAAGTTCACAAAAAAGACAGAGCATGTGGAAGTGGGAGGTCAAAGATCGGGAATATGCAGCGAAGTTGAGCCAGTTAAAAAGGCTCTCATGTACCTAGGAAGTCGCATCTCTGGCGAAGCGACTTCAAGATGGATATCGGCCACGACAAGCGCACCCTGCGCGGAAAGAAGAGCCTTCACAGGAGATGTATGTGATAAGCGACTCTCAGTGTAAGTTAGATCCCGAATATACCGTACTATGATCCATCCAACAGAGCTGTATGAACGTTCGCCAAGTACGCGAAGTGATGAACACAAACTTAGTGTCATGGGGACAAGAATGCTGCGATGACATTGGTTACATCTTGCTGGATCATATCTGTAATCACACTGTTCGAGCTAAGATGATTGCTTCTATCATCAAGAGATGCAGGAGAAACGACTGCGAGAGTACCGGCATTTGAGTAGAAGAGATAAGACTCACATCATAAGAATGGCAATTTTTTTATCTTCGCATTTTCCCGCTTAAGCAAGGTCTGCTGTGCGAGTCAACTGTCTCTAGTATTTTCGATTTGAGGTATGATGTTCGTCTATCTTAAGCTCTTTCGGGTCAGCTCTGATTCTGTTCATCAACCTCATCTTTGGTCTTCCCTCTGGTCTTTTTTCAGCGACCTCCAGAGACAACCATTTTTGTGATATGGTTCTCATCTCTTCTACTCACATGCCCGCATCGCAGTCGTTCCTGCATTTTCTTAACGATGGGAGCAACTTTCATCCTTACCCGAACTGTGTCATTACAAACATGATCTAGCAGGGTGGTACCCAATGTCCACTGCAGCATTCTTGTCTCCATGGCACTAAGCTTGTGTTCTTCAATTCGCATACTGGGCCAACATTCGCTGCCATACAGCGCTGTGCGACGAATCACAGTACGGTATATTTGGGATTTGAGTTGCACTGGCATTCGTTTGTCGCATAGAACTCCTGTGAAGGTCATCCATTTCATCCAGGATGCGTTTGTCCTGGCAGATAGTTCATCTTGAAGACTTCCTTCGCCGGAGATGCAACTTCCTAGGTAATTGAAGGTACTCGTTTTCCTGATT